CAGCGGAGAGAAGGCAAAGAAAATGGTCGGATGTCTTCGGGAAGGGCAAAGCAGGGCCCCGGATTTTTAAATCCAGAAACAAGTTATTTCCTTTTCACTTTTCCACCAATTAAAGTATTTTTAACTCTTTCATTGTCAAGAAATAAACCTGTAGGGTAAGCGGAAGAGTCCACGTTATTCAGTTCAGAAAAATGCTGAAGCTTCCTGATGTCCCCTGTTGTTTATACCCTGTGCCATTTCCTGCTGAGAAATACGGTCTTTCATGCAAATGATCTCAGGTGGAAAATACTGTAAAAATGAAAAAAAGAGTAAAAGGCTTATCTGCCTTCATGGTCTTATGAAAAGGGCTAATCGCTCTGATTAGCAACGTTTTAGAAACCCTAATTTTTTGAATTTTGTCCCATCAATAAATGCACAATTAGAAGCTGCTATTGTAAGTCTGAAGTACAACACATACACATCCCGTGAGGTTTTGCGTGACATTTAAGTATCGGTTAAGGCTAAAACTCCAGGACCTAAATGTGCCTTACACCCAATATGACTGTTTCACTTCTTCCATGGGATTTGTACCAGCGATTTCAAAAGGCGGAGTTTAAAAGCCCATGCATGTAGGGAGTGGAGCCGATTCAGATACATTATCTGGGCTTCCTGAGCCAGCTCAGCTGAGCCCAGGCACCCGGGTTTGCCTGTGATGCGGTCAGCCAGGTCTGCTGGTGCTTGGAGCACAGGAGGAGGCAGCCCTATTTAAAGACATATTTCGATGTGTAGAAAGATTGGGGCCATGTCATGCCTATGGTAATTCTTGTCCTCTTTTCTAAGCGGGATGATTAAAGACGCTAACCTCGCTGTGTCCCAAGCGCACAGGGAAAAAAAACTTTATCATGTGGAGTGTTCAGATTGTTTTGCGTTTCAGTGGCTGCTACTTGCTACAAAAGGAAAAGGGGATGCATACAAGAGATGCATGCATTTCTCCATAGCTCTGATGCTGCACAAAGGTAGTGCAAGAACCTTTACTCTGTCTGAAGTCCAAATTCAGCTGTAACTCTCCATGTTTGCCCTCTTCTTATTTTGGGAATTATTTCTTCCATTTGCCTATGACCCTTTGAAGTACAAAATCTACAGGCAATGCAAGTAGGACTACAAGTACAAAAGGTTGTGGATTTTACTGGTGATGAAAATTCCAAGCTGTCCTGATACTCCTTTCACACACAAACTACTTATTTTCCAGTTTGAAAATGCAAGTATGTCCAGAATTGCTTCCCGAGCTTTTCTGTGTTAAAAAATGAATGGAAGAACCTTTGTGACTAATACTTAGTATCATTCTTGACAAGGAATGCTTTTGGAACAACCTCTCTATCAGGACGGGCCGTCAAATAGTTTAGTTCTTTGCAACCACCAAAGAAACCCAACCCAAAACGTAAAAAGCCCTTTCTACCTACATGGACCTCTGGTCTGTGACCCCAGACCCTGTGAAAGAGCTGCCCCTGCTCATTGTAATGCTTCTTCCTTCCTTGTAGGTATGTGAGCTGGGAAGGGAGAAGGGGTGTTCCCAGCTGCATTCCCCTCTACTTCCAGCCCTCTTCTCCAATGAGATTTGTGTCACGTCTTGAGCTGCTCTGTGCTCTGACACAGCACAACCCCGAGACCAGGTTTTTGGAGCCCAAGGACTCCATTTTTTCCTGTACAACCTGAACCAGTCACATTTTCATTACTGGCCAAAAGCATTACATCAAGGTGTGTATAAGACCAAATCTTTTTCCCTAGCTGCAGTTAACACTTTCTCCGTCAATGTTATTTATTTTGAAATATATTCTTTTCTATTAAAACTGGAAAAGAAAGTCTCTGGGAAACTAACATAGCAACTATTTGCCCTGTGTGTTGAGTAATTATAATCTCTGGCCAATTTGATTTCATAAGTAGGTGAGCAGTTATTGATTTACTGCATTAAAAAAAAAAA